CCCCCCCCATTTTTCTCTGTGGATTTCTTATTTTTGTCTTTGGAGTGTGATGAAAAATCTCATGCTTCTTTCATAGAGTAGACGGTATGTAATCACCCTAAACAAACTGTAATGCAACCAAAGATCATGTAAGGGTCTGCCAAAGTGAAAGTGATTTGAGGAGTTGTTGCATTTAAAACCACATAAGTTGCCATGTGGGATCAGAGGGGATGTGAAAATATGTACTTAGCTGTTGCCTTGTGATTTCTGCTGCATGTTTAAGTGAAAACTGAATATTTTGCCACTCTAAAGTCGATGGGTTCGGGCCGTAAGGCTCACAGTGTCATTTTTGAACGCTCTAATGCATTTCTAAGTGTTTCAATCTGTGGTGGGTCTTCACCATTAGTGTCTCGCTCATTTCTCTGTCATTCTAAAAGACGGCAGGGTACAAACAGAACGAGACATTACCTCCACCACTTAGGCCCCAGCGTGCTGATTCAAGGCGCCATAATGACATGGCAAAGGCAAGATACACTCCCGCTGCTCCCCGGTAACTACAGAGACACGGAGGGTGGAATGTAAAATTACGAAAGCCTCCGCCTGAGTGCCCTTTTGCTGCAATTTAAAGTAGGTAAGGAGACATAGCTAATTCGGCTACATTAATCAGGCAAAGCACATTACCGTGCAAAAGATAGCTGGAGGAATGACGAGCCGACAATGTCCTGCCAGTCAGCTAGGCGGCGAAGACTGAGTGATCTGATGGGATGACACAGCTCCAGCACAGTGTGGAGCAATCAGCTGAGGAGAGCCTTGTAGTTCTTCGTTCATTACAGACATGAGCCAGATCACTAGTCCATCCATCAGCCTGTGTTTATCCAGTCGGCGGCAGAGTAAATGACTTCATGAAGCTGGATAAATGACAAGTGGGGGAAATGCAAAATGTCCAAGTCATCATTTAACCTCTAACTCATATCCTGCTGCTTAAGTGATGTCTTCACTGCAAATATCATCTTCAGAATACCAATAAGGAATACTGTGGAGGATGTAGCATGCAGTTATTGCTCTGAGAGTGAGGGATTTCACCTGGAAAGCAGAACTTCCTAACTAAAAATTCCTGATCAGTGTGTCTGTTTCTGAGTGAACGGCGGCAGACTTCGGCAGAAGGCGGCGCTGAGACTTGTTTACTGTTGATGTGTAAAGTGTTGCATCTGGATTTAAATAAATCAAAAGTAAATATAGTTAGCGATAAACATGCTGATTGATGGGATTTTTAGATTTTTGCAGGACCACTTGATTTCCAGTCTGGCCAGACTGTACCATCAATGTCAATTACATGCAGATGAGCTGCAGCGATGGAGCAAGCAATATGCATGCACCATGATGGATCTTTGCAGTGGTGTAGAATAGATGCTAAGATCTCTCACTTAGAGCCCACAAACCTGCCTTCCTTTTTAATAAATCTTCTATTTGAACATAAATACTCTGGTCATTTTTGGATTACTGCGCAGTATGTAGTCTGTGTTAAAAGTGTCAAGGCTGTAGGGTTTGCCACTGAATTGCACTTGACCGCAGACACTCGACTTGCGTAAACTTTACAGATGGCTCTAAATCTCTTTTTACGATATCAATTACACAACACTGAGTGTCTGATGGTAATCCAGTGGCCTTTTTTTCTTCCTCAGCTATGAGCCATGAAATCTACTTTGCCAAAGATACCCATCTTAAATCATGAAGTATACATTTTAAGACATGTTAATCCCATAAGCAAAGACTCAAAACGATTCACACTACTCAGAGCTTGCTAGCTGTGACTGCCTATTCCTGTAAGCCCAAAAAGCTGAGATATCACAGACATGTTTGAGCTTTAAAGGTCAGCAATAAAACTCTGGATCAATTCAGAGTAAAAGTGTTGGATTAGCAATGTGCAAGAGGTTATTTTTATGAAGGTGGAGTACAGTTAACCATTTATCTAAATAAATCCTATGACATTCGCAGTCTGTTAGCTTTGCTTTGTAGCTTTCTTGGGGAGAGATTCTCTCATTTTCACACTCTCTGACAGTTCTGTTCTGGCAAGCTCTTTCTCCTCGAAATTTGGTGCCATTTTTATTTTAGGATTATCATGTTTGGTGAAGCAGCCCTGTGATGGACAGGCGACCTGTCTGGGGTGTACATCTGGGACTGGCTCCAGCCCTACTACAACCTATAACTGGTTAAAAAGCTGGATAGATGTTTGATGAAGCTGTTTTTCTTCATTAGCTTAACGAACGCCGATGCAGCCATTGTCCTACAGCCTCCAGATGCCATTCTTGTGGCTGGTAATGTCATCACATGACCCGATGCCACTTTCTTGGTGCCGTATGACTATTTACATCACATGAAATCACATATTTGTTTATCATTTCACATATTTGTTGAAAGTAGGGTGACTACGGACACTCTTTTCCTAACACTAGCCATACTGCAAATGTTGCATGCACGTCACATTTTCAAACATCCAAACTTATGTTTTTTTATGCTTTTTATATCCCAATATCCTGCCAAAGTAAGTTCAGCTTCCCTCTATGGTTTGGCGTCACAGCTCAGGACAAGGATGTGCATGCATGCTACCCATTGCAGCAGCCACACTGATTTTGGTGTCATTCCTCAGGACACCAGTGTGCACTTGTCTTGCACTGGTGATGTTGGGGCTGGCTGGTTCAGGGTTAGCAGTGGTATTTATGTCCCCAGCAGACGGGCTCAGGCGACATGAGGTAGACGTTAATTCAGGAGAACGCAGTCAGGCTTGCGGCCAAATGCTGTCAGCCTAATACCGGCGAGCAGTCCAGGGGGAGCAGTCGCAGCATCTGGATAGTCAAGCTCCATTAGCCTCCTGGCTCTGTTTTACACCGGCTGCATTACAGCCTTGTTGACAAATGGCAGAAGAGGTGGTTTGTGTGATATGAATCACATAACTCAAGGGATCGCCACCATGAATATCACACCCTCTTGCTCCCTGATCTTTCCCCTCCTCCTTCCCTCTCGTCTGAGCTCGCTCTGAACTGTAGCAGCAGCCTGGCTCGGATTCAGTGGGACAGCATTAGCTCTCAACCTTGGTGAAGGACTAAAGACAGCCTCAGCTTGGTGTCCTTGCTGTCACACTGCTGCTGAGAGACGATAAGCACTCCAGCCTTTAGGACATTATGTCGGGCTCCCGTTGGTCCTGGCAGCACTGTGAGCTGGGTAATTGCAGCAGACTTGAAAATAATTAATTAATTGTTACATGTGATGCTTTTACAGTCTTGGAATCTTAGTTCACTTGTTTTCAGATTTTTTTTTAAATCATATTCTACCCGGACACTTCCCACATGTTTGCAAAACCTGATTTCGTGCCTAATTTAAACACTTAGCAGTTATTTCTGCTCGGTTTATGTCGCAGTGTCAACTTGAAACTTAAACGATTCAGTTATAACCTTCGAAATGTCATGCGAAGATGCAGATCTGAAAAAGGAATAAAAAAGTCATTTGATACAGCAGCGGGGGTGTTTACGATTCACACGACACATTATAAGTTTCTTTTTCTTCTCCTCTTATGATTCCCTGCAGAAATTCAGCCCATTTGGAGGATAGCAAAGAGCGATATTGCTTCTCGTATATGTAGCACCAGGACATTTTCCTGCCACTGGGAAAGTATTTACTGTAAAGAAACTGTCTCCGAGGTGAAATCTAAAGTCCTGCTGTGGACCGGTGATGAATTCTTACCTCAGTCTTTTAAAGCCTTTTCGCTGGCTTTTTGGCTTGTCCTTGTGAGGCCTGTAAAATGTCCGTGGTGATATATTAAGATGCTGTCACAGCTCTGTTAAGTAGACAGGTATGGCTGTGGGTGTGTGAATTAGGTATATTTTACAGGGTTGAGCTGCTGAAATAAACCATGCAGTGCTATATTTCTTTCAAACGCAGCAGAGCGCTGAATGATGAAACACACGGGGAAAGGCTGTGGTGGGTATTGATGTGTAATGCCCTTGGACCGAAGCCAAGACGGTAAAATGGAATGAAAGGAAAGCAGTCACTCCCCTTTTAAGTCAAGGTTGTACTTTACAGAAGCTATATCTGTCTGTGTTGTCACTGCTACGCTTAGTAAATGTTCTGTGTGTGTGTGTTTGTGCGTGTGTGTGCTGCAACTATAAAAAAAACAACTCCCATCTAAATCACATCCGTCTGTTGACTTTGAAGATTCCTCCACCAATTTGCCTGTATTTTTCCAAGGTTGACACTATATGTCATGGCTTATCCATAACTTCTGAGCTACAGGAAGCTGGCTTTTGGCACTTGCTTGTAAACATCCAGAGAATGGGCCCTTAGTGTTCAGGACGCCTGCCAGCTCATAGAAGTGGCAGCTGATCATCCTCAGTTAATAGGCGCTCATAATCCTTTGTGAATGTCTTATGTTGTCCCCGGAGAGGAGTGAGACTAAGGCATGTATTTGCAATCAGAATGCATTAAGGGCTGACAGTTTAACTGCTGCCATAACTGTTATAAACTCTTTCTATGTTAAATGGAAGCCTGTAATGAAAACTGAAAAGTGTCTTTTTTTTGTCTCTAACAATGTCTCTCTTTTGTCTCCCTCGCTGCTGCTTTTAATCGCCACAGGAAGTTGAGGTTAGTGTCTCTTTTGTACTTTTGTGCAACGCATTGTTTGTCTTTGCTCTGACACTTTTTACACCCTTGGTTTCACCTGCATGATAGCTTAGCACTTATACGACATCACTGTTAATAGTAGTGATTTTTTTCCCCCCTTTCAATCCAGCTCCATTAGTGTGACACAAATATGATTAGAAAAAATGGCTAAAAAATATCAAATCCAATTCGAGTACAGACAAAGTCAAACACACTCTGAATAAATAATATTAAAATAATTTGAATTGTGGTTCATAAATAGAACATTTTACATCAAAGTTATGTCAAGTGGTTCTATACAACCATGTTAAATAAATCCTAAGAAACAGTTTACATTTATTTGATTTATTCATGTTATCACCAAAATGCTATGTTTCGGCAGGTTTACCTAATGGCTTTTTAAGTTTCTTAGCATGTTTTTATGTTCACCGCAAACCGCTGTGGCCTGGCGTTAGGCAATGAACAACTGGTCGTGCACCTCTTGATTTTCCTAACTTGGCAGGTTGTGCCGCGGCCGCTGCAGCTGCATTGATGACACGAATCATCGTGTTGGTTTTTGCTGCCATTTTAATGATATTCTACTACAAAGCTCAGAGATATGCAGATATAAAGTGGGAAGTGTTGCAACAGTTTGAAAACTTTTTGGAAAAACTTTTGCAAGTCTGTGCTTCTGGTTTTGACTTCTTTTCTTCTTCCTATATCAGTCTGAAGGCTGACACCTATAGTTCAGGAGAAAACTGCAGCGGCTTCCTGCACCTTAAGGGTGGGCATACTTAGAAGTGACTCTGTAGTGTGCAACCGCTTTTCATAACTCTGTTCAGTAAATCCAACTGAAGGGGCTTCTTTAAAACCAAGAGTTTTAGTGAAATTTCATTTTCTTGAGTGAAATGCATTCTTTAAGAAAAACAGTAGAAAAACAGGTATAAACACTCACACTTTCTCTTTACCTCCTCCCTCTGTACACTGTATTTAAGCCTTCAGCTATACTTGTTCAGCTTGACTTGAGAGCTCAGTCTTCTTGTCCCCTGAGCAGAGTAAGACTGAGCTAAACTGAACAGACCTGATCCTCGGGGTCCTCTCTGGGCCTTGTGCCGAGTTGTAACCGCTTAATAGTTGATCCTCTCTGTCCTGACACACAGAGAAATGGGTCAGCATGGATACAGCCTGGGGACGCAGAGTTTTTATTATCGTTCCAGCGCAGTGCCGCTAGGGACACACTCTAAAAAAACGGAGCTGGTTTGCAAATATTCCCTTTGCACCAGTGCAGCAGCTAAGATAGTTCAAGTCCTTTTATGAGATACAGCTTGCTGAGGCTTATCTTGCACCGTTTACTTTATGTTAGAAGCTACTTCTGCAACAGTGAAGATGAGTTTGGCAGTTCTTCCCTGACCTTGCTTAAAGCTAAGGAAAAACAAATTTGGCTTGAGGCTCACTTATTAACTTCTTATAGATATAATGTCACAAAGTTGACATTTTTCATGACAGTAATATGAAAGCTTTAGAAAAAGAAACAGGTTTTTTTTATCCTGTTAAAATCTTACGTGCGACTTGTGATGATACATATTTTGCTAATAATGGAGCGCGTTTTTAATACTTTGTAATTTCCAAGCTCACAGAGAGGACATTTAATGCTTTAGTTTTATAAGCTGTGTTGTAATGCTTTTCATCCTGTGGGTCCATGTTATGGCTTTAAGTTTTAGTTTTAGTTCAGCATGACGGGCAGGTCTAAAGTCTAAGTTTTTATCAAAGAACCAGATATTTTCTGTCATAGTTGTGCTGTACTGATTATTCAGCAGAGAGAGCTGCATGCTAATCCAAGCCTTAGCAGCACTCCAACTATGAGTCACGCACAATCCTCTGTGAGAAAAATTAATCAAGTTTGATTTCCAAAACCACGGTATTGCTTCTCCAGTTGTGCATTTTCTTTATAAACACTGAAACATTTTGTGGTTTAAAAAGAAAATAAGAAGAAGGGAATACTTAAATTTCTGTACAAACCCACATTTTGGCTTTTTCAAAAGAATATATATTTTTTTAACGATTCGATCTGGAGATTTGTAAGGAGACAGTCAGTCAGCCTGATCTCTCCAGGGGAATTCACACTAAATCTGAGACCTTCAGAGCCAAAGTCACCTCCAGAACAAATCCCTGACAGGGAACAGCCTGGAAAGTCTGGCTTGATGATCTCAGGCTGGCTCATATAAGACTAAAATTTTATTTTATTATGAAATAAGAGAAGCGTAAACTCTCAAGAGAAATAAACAAATATATTATTATCTCAGAGTCTGAAAAAAGGCTGATTTAATTTTTTTAATTAAGAGCAAGCTTGTTACTGAATTTGTTAGGGTTTAGTTTTTTACCAAACCTGTACCTAGGGACAACAAAATGGATATAAAATAGACACCACAGCAGTGCAACATGTGGAGCCAGATAATAAAAATATGCAGCATTTGACTGGATGTTGTGCTTTTGACTTGCAATAATATATAGAGTATAAAAGAACGTCATCAGCTAAAAAGTACAATTTAAATAGCAGTGGTAATAAATAATAACCTCATGGTGAAACCACTGTGTTTTTGGGCCTTAGGCAAACTCTTTCTAGTTATTATTATTTATATTACTTTTAAACCTAGGGCTAAAGAGCTCCCAAGGTTTTGTTGGCACCATTATTTACTTTTAGCATCTTTACTCTCTCTTTTCAATTACAATTAACATGAATGAGATGAATGTATTTGATTTAAAGTGCCGTTCGCGTTTCCATATAATTATGCATTTCTCTTATCTTCCCTGATTATTTCTATTATTCTGAATTTTAATTAAGCCTCTAAAAATCCAAGAGCAAATCTCCTTTATGGTGTTGCCTGGAATAAATTATTAAAGCCATTAATGCAAATATGTTTTTTCCTTGCAGGATGACTACATCAAAAACATGGAGGAGAATGTTGGTTCTGATGAAAGTAAGTCATAAAAACTGATTTTATCTGATTGGAAAGGATTGTCTTTGAAGAGCTGAGGATTGATGAGTGGTTTCATTTAAAGCCTATTGTCTATTTCAGCTTATGTGTATGGTAAAGTACAGCATTCAGAGACAATTTTCACAGCTCAATACTTCATATTGAAATAATGAAAAGCTAAGTGCTCTTTGCCTTTAGCCATCTCCTTTAGACAATGAAATGGTGCAGCACACGCTATCAAAGCGCCAACTTCTTCTTTTAACTGCGACAGTTGTCTGAGGTCATCCAGCTCGTGGTGAGCGCTGGTGTGAGGTGTCAGAGATTGTGAAGGGTGAGAACACAGTTGCGATTCAGGAAAGGAGAGACCGAGCCTTCAGTCAGATCCATTAGTTTGAAAAGCCTGCTGTAATTGCTTTTGTTGCTGAGGGCTCAACTCAGAACTCCCACCAGGCTCCATTTTTCTCCGTGGGGTCTGTTCCTAGCTGAGAAAAGAACTTCAGCTGTGGAGGTGGAATAGACAATTTGAACATGAAGTTCAGTTGTGTAATGTTTCAGTTAAACGCTGTTTTGTTTTTTTTCTCATAAAAGACTCCTTTCCTCCGGAAAGATGTTATAATCTTTGATATTTCATAAGATCATTGGGGAATTGCACATTAGGGAAAACAGTGGTTGGAGACTACGGCACGTACAAAATTATTGCAACCGTGTGAAATGAACTTGTGATCTCACTGCCTTTTAAATAGTTCCTTTAAAGGGGACCAAGTCTAAAACCTCTTGCTTTTTTCAAATTGACTTTGGTATGTCAAAATAGCAATAAAAAAGCAATAAGATGGAGTCTGTCTGCTATTAGTTCATGATTGGATGGGATCAAGTTAATAATTAATTACAAGCTCTTTGTTATATACAGAGATTAACTATGTAAATCGGGGGGGAAAAGCTGCACTGATTCATCCGAGTGTTTTGAAACTTTACTTACATTAATCTGATTTCTCTAAAAAATTTCAGGCAGAGAGATTATTTTTAAGCAATAAACAACATAAATGTGTAATATAGGCCATATTTCTAAGTCATATTTTTGAAGAATATTAAAGTGTTGCTCAGTAAACAGGTCATTTCTTGAAATTAATATGTCAAGGTTTATGATTCATTGATGTTTTGTCCAAATGTTATTCATTGTCAACCATAAGTCAACCATTGCTATGTCAGGTTGTATCTGCCTGACCTTTAAGTTTAAATCACAGCAGATTAGGTTCCTGTGCTTGTTTTAACAAAGCAGTCACTCTCATCTTAGCATGCAGGAATCCCTTTAAGAAGGTCAGGGGAATAAAGTGCGGTATGAATCATTTCACAGGTCAGGGTATATGTGCACTAATCATACACGCGCTTGCTAATTAGCAGCTCCTAACAATGTGTTCTAGCTGCAAGGTGAGAGTGGGAGGTCGGTTGTAATGCCACACCCACACTTCCTCTAAGGAAGAAGATGTGAGAAGAAGCAGCTGGAGATGTTATCCCAGTCATCTGTTCTTAGCCTACAACAAGGGGAATAACTAATGTAATCTCAAGAAAACGCCTCGCTTGCTGTAGTGCGGGCGACTTCTATTTGAATACCATTGATTTCATCCGCATCACAACTCCCTTTGGGACTAATTCTGCAGACTTAATTGATCAGAGCTCTCTTCATTGCAAATTCAACAAGACAGCAAAGAACTCCAAGAAGGTGTACCTGCAAGCCCTGGGTAGAACAAAGGACCTAACCGGAGACTTTAGACACCTCTGGTGCCTTTTTAAGTGAGCCAATTGAGACATCAACTCAGCTCCACAGACTGCTCTTTATTCAAGGGCAGTTTTGAAACAATAAGCTGCCCACTCGCTGACTCTGATTTAACAGAGGAGCCTCATATTCAACCTTTATTTATGCTGAACAATTAGACTACTTTTGTCCCTTTACTGAAGCATTTTACTAATTAGATTAAGAAAAAAATGAGAAAAAAAGGTGGCTGTGATTACACGTCAACGTGTACAACCTCAGGAAATTGTTCAAGCATAATGTGTTGTCAAAGAAAACTGAGGTGAACTTGTGGTTTGCATTCTGTGATAATCGTGAGAAAATAAACGTAGCTGCGAATTGCTCTAACTTGGCAATTAAAACTCAGAACATGAAAGAGTCTTCTAAAATGAACTTAAATGGAAATCCACCAAAACGGGACAGTCTCTCTCATGATTTACTGTTTCATGCTTTAAATGTCCGGCAGCCCAGTAACACACTCTCTGCAGATTTTATTTTTTCCCCAGAACCGCTAAGGTACTTTATTAAATGTAAAAGTAATTGATGATGACAGCTTTTGATTGATGAGCCTGTCCAACTGCAAGGCGCCATACTCTGTGAAGAATTCAGATGCGAGCGCAGATAACAGCGGCGACGCTAATCGTGGAAAAGAAAGCAGCTGGAATGGTTTTGATTGCGGTGTAATAATAATAATAATAATCTCTGATAGATTGCACGGGGGCTCAGTGCAGTTGCGTCGCTTTTGTTGACATGATTATAGGAGGATTTAAAACCCATAATGGCTCTATCACATCCTGGCCCTGAACTGAATTCTCGATGCAGCATATTCTAAACAAAACGAGTAGAGCTGGAAAAGCTACTTGATCTTCACTGCAAATTAAATCTAGTGTTTAAATTTCATTTTTCACATGTGGGAGTTGTATATGAGCGCCGTGTGACAGATGTGTGTGATTTTTTTTTAGCTGCTGCTTCGAGGCAGTTACACAGCTAGATATATGCAAATTGTGCACAAGGGGAAATGCATTTTGCTCAGGTCAGTGCCATTTTTAAAGACATGACAATAAATAACAGGAGAACTACAAAAGGTTTTCATAAGGACTTGACATATGAGCGGGTTGCACATCATTATCTGAAACAATACCATTATTTTCCGGGCTGTGCTTCTGTAAGGAAATGCAGCGAAGTAGTGTGTGACACAGTTTTAGGTCATGGAACTCGTTCACCAAGTTCATTTGTTTCCTGGCAACCTTGTTTAAGATGAATCCACCAGCTACTTTAAAACTGCTAGAGTCAGCAGTTATATAGTAACAATGATTTTGTGAAATGTGACGCTGTCATTGTAAATTTCCGCCTATTCCATCAGTATGTGGGGCATTTTAGCATCTATCAGATCTTTATGTTGTTTTGTAGCCTGCAACTCTGTTTTGCTTTGCTGTTACTGATGTTGTTTACCAGATGCCACAGCAGCCAGCTGTTCTCGGGAAAAAGGCTCTTTGTAAACCCTCGTTACATTATTTTTCATCAAATAGGAGGCGGACAAATTTGGCAATTAGCTGGTAAACATAGTGGAGCTCTAGGTGGCCAGACCTAAAAATTCAGCTGTTTCTCTCACAAATTGGTTGAGACCAAAGGGGACCTAAAAGACAAGTAAATATTGCACGACTCTGGGTGTGCTAATGTTGTGCTGTGTATGCTGGATGTGCAATTAACCTTCATCCTACCAACATATTTAACATACATGAGCTAACAACTGGGTGCCTGAGCACCCCAAGAATAATTTATTGCAAGAAGCAATATAATAGCAAAATTATAATAATAGCAAAACTTATTTTATGTTCAAATCCCCCATCTGTCTTTCTGTGTGAAGTTTGCATGTTCTCCCCTTCTATGCATGGATTCTCTCAGAATACTCTGGCTTTCTCTCACAGTCCAGAGGGGTTAGGTTAAGTAGTGATTCTAAATTGTCTGTTGGTATGAATGTGACCATGAATGGTTGTCTTGCTCTCTATGTTGGCCCTGTGATTTGTCCAGGGTGTACCTCACCTCTCGCCTTATGACACCTAGGTTAGGCTCCAGTGACCCCAATATAAAACAATTGAAATAAGAGATGCACTCTCCCCAGTGTGTCATGGATCTGCTTTGGTACCGCCATTACATGGCTGAACCCAAACTAATTCAAAGTCTCCTTTTGATGTGTAGGAGTAGTCGGCTGTACTCTGAATCTCTTCCAAATGACCTCATCCTATCTTCTAAGGCTTAGCACAGACTCCCTACAGAGGAAACTTTCTTTCAGTCACTGCCCACAGCTCATGACCATATCTGAGGGTAGACACGTAGATTAGCCATTAAATAAACATATTTGCATTTATGCACAGCTCTCTTTTCACTGTAACAGGTTGGTACAGCATCTGAATCTCTCAGACAGCGGTTCTAGACGGGGAGGTGATGCGATGCTTGAGCTGCGAAACATGGAAGACAGGGTGGACCACCTCTGTCTCTTGGTGGGGGGGATGAAAGCCATGACAAACTTAAAAGGGGGAGAGACTGGTAGAGGAAGAGGTAGCGTGAAGACATGGTGAGGATGGTGTTTAGACCGTTAACAGATGGAATACCAGTAACAAAATCAAGCTGGATGTGGGACCAGGGACGTCTCGGAATAGGGAGGGGCTGAAGATGCCCTGCAGAAAGTTGGGTGGAGGCCTCGGTCCGGGCACAGACCTCACGAGCAGTCATTGCTGCTTGATTTGGGGCTTGCAGTGTAGCAGAAACAGCTCTCCTTCTCATGTGTGGCATGACCAGGGTGTGTCCCAGCTGGGGACAATTTATAAAAAAACAACACACATTTTGAGATATGAGAAAAGATAAACCTCTGTGGTCTACATGGAACCCAGTCGGTTAAGAAATCACACTAAATGGTAACATATTAATTTTTTTATAAGCTTGCTTCTGTTACCCCAAAGATTCCAAAAATACATTATTATATCTTTCATAAGCTTTTTCATAATTTTACAACTATCTAACTTGAAAATTCCTTCCTCTCTTTGCTAACATAAATCCTCTCAGTTTTTCACAAACATGAGACTCTTATTACGGTAAATCTCCTTCTGTTATACGGTTTGCAGGTGTAGTTTAGTAAAAAGAAAGTAGATCCTACACAAAACTGGTCATAACATGGCTGGTGACTTTTTTATTGTTCTTTTTTCTGGTTGTTGATGTGTTTTATTTATTTTTTTATTTTATTTTTTATTATCCTGATCATGATTTCTCAAAAAAAACAAAAAAAACAGCCATAGGTGCCAAATGTATGTGCCACTTATTTAGATTGTAAAAGAAAGGGAACCTGTCTCCAGAACTGAATAACTTAAAACAAAACAATCTAAATGGCAAAAATTGCACTGCAGGTCGAATGAAAGATATTTAGATATTCTGTGTGCACCTGTTCAACTGCTGGTTAGCGTAAATATCGAATCATCCAGTAACATGGCAGCAAATCAATGCATTCAGAGGAGAACTGCAAGACTGCTTTGAGCTGACATGTTTGAGCAGACTCAAATAGCCAATTGTTACAACTGAGGGATGCTGAAGGGGCTACTATTTGCGCCACACAATTTGTGTGTGTTTTCTAGTGGTTTTTGTTGTTTTTTTGGTATCTCCTACCAAACATTTAGCTGGTGCAACGCATAGTTCACTGCAAAGCCCATAGCTGTGGTTTCAGGTGCTTTCAGGTCATAGTGAATACTCAGATGCTGAGTGGGAACAGTTTATGGTATATTACACCAGTAAAACAAACCAAATTCTGCTTCCTGCCTCCATGAAAGTTTACTGATAGTAACCACTCAGCAAATACACAGTGACAGATGATGTAAGACAAACCAGACAAAGCCTGGGGAAAACTTGAATGATGACTTGTGCTAAGGAGAGCTGATGTGACACATTGAGTCATACTGAAGATATTAGATAGCTTCGCTTTTTTTTTTCTTTATTGTCAAGAAATAGTCAAAATGATATATGGGGTGACAGATTGGGGTGAATTTTGTTGAGGTTTTATGTCCTAAATCAAAAGAGAGGTTGGAGACAAATGTACTATCAGCAGTAGAGTCTGTCTATTATTCAGCTGCTGGGGTTAAATAAAATGACAGAGCAGACTACCTGTTGGACCAGATGAAGCGAATAAAAGTCAAGTGGTCACAAAAAGTGTTATATGGAATGACGGAAAGTTTATGAGCTTTCGCTGCTGACAGAGTCTTGCTATCTGTCTTCGGGCTTCTCTGCTGAATCTAAATGCTATGTCATGAATTTCCACTCAGCAGAAGAACAGTTTGGACAAATTGGTTTGTAATTCAGTTAAGACAAACAGCAAAAATAATACCAGCCCTATCCCACTTGTATTCATTTTCTTTTCTTTTTGGCTATTTACAAGTTGTTGCCCTTTGAAATGATAATGCATCTGGAATCCTGCTCTACTTTGAGGTTCGTTTTTGTTTTATCGACTTCTGTTGCTCGAGGGAGTTTTACAGAACGGCAGAGTGTGTAATCTGGAGTCATGTGAAGATGAACCAGGGGGATTTTTCTCCTCGTGTTTTAGATTCTACTGCACCTGCAAGTAAATTTGTTTTTATGCAAAGTAATATGTAACAAAACATTCATTCAGTTAGGAAAATCTCAAAATTAAACTTGTAAAAATATGCCCCAAACTCCTAAGCATATTAATGACTACAAATGTTTATTCTGCAAGTGTCTCCATATCATTTCAGTCGCACATGTATGTAACAGCCAGTGCTTTTTTTCTGTTGTTTTTTTTTTCTAAACCGTGTGTGGTACAATATGACACCAACACAACATGATCATGCCCAGCTGGGATGGAGTGACTAATGCCTTTCAGCTCATTTGGGCCACTGAAAAAACATCTCAGAAAAAAACATCAAATTACTGTTTTAGAAATTCTTAGAGCCACACCAAAAAGTAATCAAATGTCTTCGTCTAATTTGTTGTCAACTAGAATTAAACACAGAAAAAATATGTTTTTTTATTTAAAAAGGGGGAGCATGACCCAGGTCTTTAATCTAGACATTGTGTTTTATATATATCTGGCTTATATCTTGCATTGTTTAAACAAATTCATCCCACCAAACACAAGCCAATATAAATGCCTCACATGTAGCAATACTGCAATCTTCCCAGGAGCAAGGAAAAAATCCCTCCCAGGGCTGGACTGTGTGGATTCCTCAGTCAGACCTAAGTTAGTCTGTTAAATATTAAAGTTCATGACTGTAGAGAAAGACAGTCATGAAAATGTATGGTTTGTTTCAAAGGTTGCCAGGAGAGCTTACGTGTGAAAAGTTGTATCTGAACAAATCATATGTCCATAAAACGTCTGGAACAATGTTCTTTGGACACATGAGACCAACATGTTTGGCCATAATGCACAGTTGTTACGCAAAAACAAGCAAATCAACACCTCATACCAAATATCAAGCATGGTGGTGGAGGCGTGATGATTTGGGCTTCTTTTGCAGCCACAGAACCTGGACACCTTGGACATTATGCTCTTTACATACTACTGAAATGGGTTATATCTTGCAGGTTTTACACATCCCATTCATCCCACTAAATATAAAAGCTTCAGATATAGCTTTTACTCTCACATCTTGTGACTGGATTGGCATTTTAATGGCGTTTGGAGTCACTGAGTTGATCATGAACTCCTCTGTGAGGCTGTCTGTCCAACAGCTAAAGTTCGGTGCAAATTAGGCAGCAGGAAACGATCCTACTCACAGCAGCAAATTTAACAGAATGACTCAAAAAGAAAACAGTAAAGGAGTTGCAATCCAGATCTCAACCTGATTGAAACACAGCGGCAGAACGTTAAGAGAGCTGAGCCTAAATGATCCCTGCAAACCTCATTGAATTGACACAATATAGTAAAGAAGAGTGGGCCTAAAACTCCCCAACAATGATATGAGAGACTGATAAATACAGAACATCACTACTTCAAATTATTGCTGCTAAAGGTGGTTGTACGTAGAATCATGAGATGTACCTGGTTTTCAAAGGACCCTATGCAGTGTGAAAAACTCTTTTATATGACTGTATCTCCTGAAAAATAACAACAACAAAATAATAATAATAATAAGCCAATAGGACCAAACACATTTTCTCTGTAACAGAGCGTACATTGTGGAACAAAGGCCTGTGGAGGACAAGCTAGCACAAAAGTGCTGCCAGACTCTATTTTTTATTAACTACTGTCAGCAGCTTGGTCTCCTGCATGGTCTTATAGTACAAAAACCACCACAGGCAGACAGTATTTCTAGATTCTCTGTGAGTTGTCTTGTCATCCACTGATTCTATAAAAGTACAATGTTCCCTCATACTTCCCTAGCATCTAAGTATTACCTAGTCGTGGGATTTGCAGGAATCTGGCTGGCAGCCACCTTGTATGTTGACCGTGTTGACTACAAAGCAGCTGCTTGAAGCTGACTCAGGATTTCACAACTTAAATTTCTCCTAGCGACTGCCGACTGCCGCTTGCCACTCACTCTTAAATTTATCTGTGCCTTTGAGTTTTCCCAGCTCGCTCCGGCAAGGCGTTAAATGGACTGGGACGGTGTGACATCCACTTTCGGATGGCATTGACCATTGGGTGAGAAAGGTGGAGGACACAGTTCTATTTCCATCTCAGTCTATTAGAGGGAAGGAGACTGGCATCGAACAATTCAACTCCCTGAAGATAGAAGGAGACATTAAGGGAGACAGCGTGCGGAGGGGAAAGAGGATAGAAAGAATGGGAACGTGGAAGACAAAGATGGAGTGTGTATTTCTGTGTGAGAGAGAAAAGGCAAGCGGGGGAGAGACAGTGATAGGTTGACATGGGGGAAGTGAGATGTGACAAGCTGAGAGAAAGAGATGCTCAATCAGTGCTGTCAGGTTTTCTTGCAATCACAGACAGCCTGCAGTTGGAGACTGCAGGCTGTACTATTGATGATAGGCTGCCTAATGACAGCTAGGCGCCCAGTAGTGCTGACTAAATAATCAATGGACTCATTTGTTCACACTGGTGGAATATTTTTAAATACACATTTCATGATTTTTATTGTATACACCTGTGTCAGAGAGAGGTTTGTGAGAATGGATCATTTGAAATGGCGCAAGAACACAGAACTTGATTAAAGCAGCTTTCTCTTTTTGTGGGCTTGCAGTGTTTGGTATAAATCTACTGAAGGCATGCTCCTTGTCAAAAGTAACAAAAACAGCCGGTAGCTCTCCATTTGTCTGCTGTAGGTGACCGAAATAGAGAATGAAACTGCAACACCTTAGGTGTGAACGACACCATTGGATTTTCACTCTTCGTGTTTTTGTGTTTGCAGCCCTGGACACCACCAAGGATCCATGCCAGAATGTGAAGTGCAGTCGCCATAAGGTGTGCATTGCTCAGGGCTACCAGAGGGCCATGTGTGTCAATCGCAAAAAACTGGAGCACAGGTAGGAGGAGCTGCAGAGCTTCGATGCTTGTTTTTTTTTTTTTTTCAAACGTGTCGTAGATTTCCACGTGGACAGGATGATGTCAGCAGTTAAAAGCACTAGAATTATCAGGTGAAGAGTTAATGAACAAAAAGTAGCTTTTATATAATGTTTGAAAAATTCATGGTTAAATAGGCCATCTACCAATCTTTTACTGTCTTACTCTGCATTGTTGCTGCTGATTTTGGACTTTCTTCCAATGTTCTCAGATTAAATTCTGTAGGTTTCGGTGTACATAGGTCATTTGTAAATCACTATCACCTTAATTTTATTGTCTTGAAAAAGGGCTATGTAAATAAAGCTTTAATTATTGGCTAATTGATTGGCTAACAAATTTAAGAGGCTCTGTGAAGTGCCATGAGTGGAGCTTAAACTCTCCTGCTGAGCAAGCTCTAGTTAGAAATGGCTCAGGACTTCGGGAGGAAGATTCACACAAGAGAAAGTGACAGAATGTTCAGGAAGTGTATAAAGTTGAGTGAGAATATGTATTAATACTTGTAACGTCAACACTTTCTTGGTGGAAATGACTAAAACCTGGGCAGCTGGTGAGTGGGAGAAGAGATGAATAAGAGCAGGTTAAGAAAACAAGTTTTCAGCTGAGACTCACGTGTTGCTGGTATTTGAAAGAATTCTCAAGCCCACTGAAGGTTTTTAAAAGTTGTTTTCATTGCCCACTGCAACACTGACATGTAGAAAACAATCTATGAGTTACAACTTTTAAATGGAAATAAACATCCTCTGTGTTGTTTAGCAAAAGTGTTTTTATTTTTATGTCTCAAACAGCTTTAATGACATTTATATTTTGCACTGCTTTAGAACAGGAAAGTCAAAACTGGCCTGGTAAGACTCCGGCCAATTGGATGACTTTGGAAAAGGAAGGCGGGCATACGTTTTGGAATTTTAACTGTGTTTTTATAGGTTTTTACAGCTTTTCTTACTGATAAAGACCTTCCCCGTGGCCAATTTCACTACAGTATAGAATGAATAGATAAACAAATGGCGGAAAAGTTCGTTTTTCACTATCGATTATAGAAATTTATGGGATTGCTTTTTCTTGTACACTGCCTACAATGGAATATTTGGCTTATTTAGGCAATAAGCTATGAGAACTTTTAAAGTAATTTCACACATTTATTTCTTACAATTGAAGTTGTGCTGATAGATTATTTCAGTTACTACAGCAGCATTTCTTTATCATGAAGAAAAACTGAGACATTATGTTGAAATTGCATATTGAGATATCTCAAGGATTAAATGTGTAGTTTAAATGTCTTTTACAAAAACAGAAAGGGGAGTTTCACTGGCCCAGATAAACGTGAGCACTATGTGGTCCTCAATGTGCTTTATGAAAGTCGCCATGGAGATAATACCAGAATATGAAGCAAAAGGAGAAAGATGGTTGCGCTGAAGCTCTGAAATTAGAGATATTAGTAGATATATTAAAGAAAAAATGGCAAGAGCTGATCTTTTAAATGGACCCGTGTAGTCCTTTTCTAAATCAGTACGAGATACTTTTGTCACATATTTCAGAGCACTATATGCTGCATATAATAATAGTCGTGACTTATCTTACATGCACATCTGACTGACAGAGCACGTAGCTGCAGTTGGTTAAACATTAGCCACTTGTATTTGTAATATTGCGTTATGGAGCTGAAAGACGAGATCTTTTAATCATTTTTTGGACTGCTTTTGATACTTTGATCAAAAGCAGTCCTAGGGACAATTTTGTAATTTTGCCAATATAGTAATGTGTCAGTAGGGTTTATATTCTGATTTCAAATGCTGCCCTCTGCACAAAGACCCTTTAGTTGTCTGTGAGAAACAGCGAGAAGCATTTATCTGTTCTCTCACCCATTCATTCCACTTTCTCTGAAAAACAAATGAGCAGAGTTGGAGGCTGAAAAGAATTAATGGAGTGAATTATTACTACCTGCAAAGTCTATCTGCAGCGACAGGCATTTATCTTTTTCAATAAAGTGCTTCATTTACAGAGTCACTCCAGAGACGAGAGAGACTGTGTCGAATAATGGGTAATAAGCAGGAACGCAACCACACTAAACCGTCCTAGCATCATTAAGTAGCAGCCGCAGAAGTCGTACAGCAGGCCCTGTGCTTGTGCCCGCCAAACATGAAGTCAATCAATGTGTGAGGGCAAAGCAACCGAGGGGGATTTCATGAACGGCGCATCCAAATATTAACAGGCACATTATGACTTTCTAGCAGTTATAATCAAAAGCGCCTTGTGGTGTTTTGTAGCTTGCAGGATGTATTAAATGAGACAGAGTTGTAATGAAAACAGCTTGTTACAGAAGATTTGTAGCTATGTGTTTGACCTGTACAAGCCGGCAAATATTATAGGGCCAATTCATCCAAATTAGAAAACATATTCACTCACTCTTTCAGATTTATAACATGTAGCTATACAGAAAATTTTCTGTTTCTTTTAACAAGGATCTCAGAAGTTTGCCCCTGAGCTTTCTGGAATGGAATTTGTTTTGTGTTGCTCACAACTTTGAGAAATTCCACCTAATGTATTCAGCAGCAGCTGCTGCTACATTACATTTCACACACTGTGAAGACTCTGTTGTCCAAGGAAGTTTAAATGCATTCAAACTTAATAGAAATAAGACCTGAGGAAGAGGAATCTGCGGTTGCTGGCAATCCTTTTCCAATTTTCATCAAGCACCTAAATCAGATAAAAATGTAGTTGCTTGAAATGTTTTGTTCAAAAAGTAAATACCTCCAGTGAAATACTATGAAGAAGCCATACTTTGAGTTTAAAGCTACTTAACTTTTAGTTTAGCTGTAATTATGATAGATAAAGTATCATACAGTAGAGGCTGACTAACTTATTGGCCACTACTGCCTCTTTGCTGATCTTTTTTATATGCATTTGTAGCAGCCGATAAATCAGAAGAAGAAACACCCTTCAACCTTGTTATGAGTTTGCCCACCAGAGGGCACTCTTGTTTTAAAGCCACAAATACAACAACCAGCTGGTCCCAGCAGTCCAGTAGAGGATAAATGAGTAAATAAATAACTAGACTTAACACATTTAAAAAAAAAATCTGTTTATATTTTGTGTGTCTGAAAGAAAAGTATTGGCTACTATATAGAAATATTGGATTTTAAACAGACATCTGGAATTCACCTCAAAACTGCTAGTCTTCGGTGATAGTTTATGATTGACTAAAAAGTGAATAGCTGTGAAAGTAATGGCATCAGCTTCAGCTGTACATGTAAGATTTTCTAAGAGCAACATGGCAGTCAAACAATCCAGAATTGGAACCTAAGAGAGAATTGCCCCAGATCACTACTTCCAGAGTGAGGGAAAAGACTTTTTAATGCCTTACTTTTGGACAAACATGAAGATGTTTCTTTTATCTGATGTGCTTGCTGATTCTGTGTATGTGCATTTTTATGTCCTGACCAATGAAATTAAAGTAGATTTAGATAATGCTTTATAATATCTTCCCCAAAAAGTGCTCAGATTTGTTTCAAGATGGTGAGATTTCTAGAAAGACTTTAATTTGATCCTCAGAATGTTAGCGTGCCATGCTAACATTTAGCTCCAACTACTCGGTTAGTGAGCTGTGGCTACTCCCAACTTGTGTTCTTAGAGTCAGAAATGGACGGATACCTCTGATATATTATTTTTTTTGCGTTGGATTTCAGAGGCAAACAGTCAGGGCAGATGGAGGTGCACGAAGGCAGCTGCAAGCCTTGTCCTGTGGCAGCCTCCTCACCTGTGTGTGGCTCTGATGGACATAACTACGCTTCAGAGGTAAAAGCACCCACTCAACATAATTGCTTTATTTATTTTTGCTTTATTACCAAAAACATGCACCATAAAAATCCTGAAAAGAAATGGAAAATGGACGTGACATCATTTTAAATAATGAGATGAGGCCAGTCAAGCGCTGTTTCCTGCTACACTGACATATACGTGGGTGAAGTAGGGCAGCACAATTCATCACTGTTAGCAGGAGGATGAGTGCAAAGGCACAATGTGGCCAAGTGATTAATGACTGACGTCGCTTTGAGCGCATCACTGTATACTGGCCAGTGCCAGGAAACTTTATTGATTTATGTATAGTTTTTAATTTTGACCTTGCATGAGAAGACAGCAAAAAAATGACAACTCAATTTTGCTGTGTTTCTCTAAGTGCAGTGTCTCATCTGAATGACCAATCTCTTTTCCTGCGGTCACCCCCATAAATATTTTAACTGCATCCTCCTCTCTCGCTCTGTCTGTCTGTTTCTCTCCTTACAGTGCAAGCTGGAGCAGCAGGCTTGCCTCACAGGCAAAGACCTGAGCGTCATGTGCTCCGGATTTTGCCCTTGCTCCACAGCCTCCGTTTCCATAACGAATGCCGACACAAAGCACGGCAAGTGTCTTTTCTTCACCTCCTTCGTGTTTGTGCATTTCAATTTTGGGAGCCAGCATCATCGCTGTCAATCTTCGTGAGTCAATAATTCAAAAAAGGAAAGTTATGATGCACTGTTGGCCACACACGCATTCTTCTTTACGGATAGGCCTCGGAGAACAGCTCAGCCCGATGCTTGCTCAATATTTGGCATCAATACTCACCAATTTCAGAGATTACTGTTAGCTGAAATCCCCCCCCCCAACCCTGTGGTTAAACTGGTCTTTCAATCATGTACTAATTAATTATTTAGAGTGTACACTATCTATGATTGCAGCCAAACAGTATTGATTGTCTAGATTCTTGGGCATGTGAAAATGCCGATTGATCCAACGAATGAAATGTTACTCCTGCTTTTCGTCTGTAGTCTTGAGTGAGTGCTTAGCTACTGAGAGTGGATTTCTGTTGGATAGCAGCAATTTGCGGCCACAGAGTTAATTGCGAAATAATGTTTTCTTTGATTAGCACATCACGCACTTAAATAAATCACAGTGTGAAAACCCAGCTGTACAGCTCAACAACCACTCTACTGTGAGGAAAATCTGTCCCTTTAGTTCTGTTCACTGTAGGGGCATTATAAAGCAGTACTGAGTCTGTGCTTGCCTTTAGGGAAAGTGACTCAGGTTGCTGTTAAGTGTCTGCCAGGATTTTGAATGTAGGAATTTCCTTTTTCCTCCTTCAGAGAGCTGCACTGGGCAGGACCTGGCAGACCTGGGTGACCGTCTGAGAGACTGGTTCCAACTCCTTCATGGAAATGCGAAGCAGAACAACTCTGGCAAGCCTGGAGCTGGCACCGCTTCAGGTTAGAAACGCACGAAACAGCTTTATTCTCTGCATCCTCCAAACTTACGACTCAATTGTGCAGACAGAAAGAAATCAAAGTAAAATGCTTTAATAACCAACAGCACTGGACAAGAGCCTGGTGGCCAGCTGCAAGGACTCCATCGGCTGGATGTTCTCGAAGCTGGACACCAACAACGATCTGTATCTTGACCACGCTGAGCTGGCGGCTATTAACCTGGACAAGTATGAGGTCTGCATCCGACCCTTCTTCAACTCCTGTGACAGCTACAAGGATGGGAAGGTCTCTACAGCAGAGTGGTGCCTCTGCTTCTGGAGAGAAAGTGAGCGGATTGATTTTCTCTGAAGAAGCACAGAGAGCGGAGTCTATTTTGAGTCAAAGCTCTAAACGGGTGAAATAAAAGCTAGGTTAATCAAAGGAAACACTGGGTATGCACTGAAGTGATGAAATGGGCTGCTCATGAATGCTATGAAGTGTGATACACAAAATCTGTTAAAAAACAGCGTGATATTCTAAGTCAAGGATTAAGGATTAACACATTGAAATGTGGCCACATATTGGAAGGTGGTAAAATAAATGTATCATCAATCTGTGACATTGGGCGAGAGGTGGCATACACCGTGAACAGGTTTCTAGTTCATCACTGTGCCAACAGAGGAAAAGAGCCATTCACACTCACATCCACACTCATGGCCAACATTATTCTGTGAAATACTCTACAGAGTGTTCTGCTAAAAACAGACACACTTAGCATGTTGTAGTGGGGGAAAGCAAAGAGCTTTTCTTAATCCAGAGTTTGAATATTTTTGCACTTAAAAAACAATAACATTTAACATGGTGTTCTTTAACTTCATCTACATACTTTAAAGCACAAGGTCCTCTTCACTTTAGACTTTGTCAGTTTATAAGATGTGTTTGAATCTGTTTATTCATCACTAAACTGTAGACGGATCTAAGAAAACAAAACTCCCCATCATGATTGGCATATCTCCTGCTGTCCAATTTGGGACTGTTTTTGTCATGTGGTGTTTTTGTCTTTGACCAATTGAAGGTAATTCTTCATGCCTCCCTAAAGCTTGCCCACAAATGAGTTTTGTCTCTCTACCTTGTTAAAGAAAATGTATTCCTCACTTGGTTTAACCTCAAAAGCCTTCTTTAGCTGTCAGTATCTCTCACTGCTGGTCACTACCATAAAATACAGACTGTATCTAAAAGATAGACATCTGTATTTTCTTTAATTGGCCAGCAGGGGGTGAGTCGTGTTGTTGTAAAAAGATCTGATTTTATTCTCTACAGAGTTCATGGGAATGAACCCTCAATTAATCATTTCAAGCCTTACTGAATACATCATTATGTTTATTTCCCATATGGAAAAGAAATAGTAAAAACTTATATGATTTACTCATGAAAGTGGCCACTTTCTCATTACTTTCATATATTGTTTTAGTAAGTATCCAAAACATACAAGTTTAATTTAATAATTTTTCAAGGGATCTTATATCTGTTTTCACTCTTATATGCTTTTCATACAAGTTTCACACAAGACAGATACAAACTTTATAAGCTTTATATATATCTTTTCCATATGGGTTTGTAAAGTACGATCTTCTTTATACTACAGTAGTAATTAATAACACATAGATATTATTTATAGAGCTGGACAAGGTTTTTTTTAACTATTTCTGTTTAGTCACAAACAGTCTGTACTGGTTTTGAGCCATTGCGCTCTGATCAGTAAGGTTTAATGAACATGTAATCACAGTAGACTCAATTAACGTGGAAAAACGGAGACATTTTTGTTAAAATTCCACTTATTAATATAAGTAAATATGCATAAATTTTCTTGCCTGGCCAGCTTGAGGTCAAACTGGGTTAAAAGAGTTTGACATTAATGAGGTGGTGTGCTCAGAAAAGTTTTCGGAGCTTGAGGATCTTCATAGATGCTATCTCACACATAACCTTACCTTAAGCTACCCACACGTGCCCCATTTGACCTTTACTAAGCAACAGGATTTTTCTGGGACTACACTCATTTGCAGGCTGATTGACCCATCGATCAAGTGTTTAACCTGCAATATATTACTCTTTAAGCTGTTTTTTAAAAGCACAGCACATTTATATATTTTCTCCTTGCGGTGTGACTTGATAATAGAGTAAAGAAGATCTAATAATGCACCTAGTTTTGTGCAAACACAAGAGCAACTCTGTGAAGAAGTACAGAGAAAGGTTTATCGGATTGGGGGTCAATACAAAGTGTCTTCTTCTTCTTTGTTTCCATTTCTGTCTGTTCTTGAGGTTCAGCTTGCTTTCTTGTCACTCTCGGGCTACATCCATATGTTCTTTCAGGCAAGTTCTTGACAATCGATCATCCTCAAGGGAATGAAATATAAGACTTCTTACTCAAATCGATATGGACAAAAAGTGTAATTATGAAGAGCATTGATTCAGATAAAGTTTAGGCAGAATACTTTTAGGTATTGTCTGTCATCACTTTTCTCATTTGATTCTCACAGAGCCGCCATGCCTTGCTGAGCTGGAGCGGATCCAAGTGCAGGAAGCAGCCAAAAAGAAGCCGGGTAAATACATTTTTCATTACAATACTGTGCTGTTAAATATATATTTGAAGGTTTTTAACCACTACGCTTGCATAGGAACATATGTTGAGCAGGATCTTGTTGCTCTTTTAACTCAGATCCTTTCAAAGACATACAGCTCAGCCATCAAGCTGGTGTGTGCCCTCAGATTGGCTTTGAGTCTCTTGGTGAACTTATGTAACAAAGCACTGGAAGCAGCAGGCAAGAAGCTGTAGAAGGCTCATTAAAGAGATCACAAGCACACGGCTAGGATTAGGCCCTAATCAGGCTGGGGGGGGGGGGAATTAGGGGGCAGCACTTGGCTTTGGGAGAGAGCAAGGCCGTCTGGCCCAGCAAGAAACACCACGACACAGGCTCTACATACTGCGTGCTCAACATACTGTACAACACAGCGGCTTTTCTTTCTTCAGCTCCAGACCTAGAGATTGGTTCTCCAATCCCTGAAGCCCACTCGTCTTACTTATTGTGATTGGGGTTTTTTTTTCACAGAATTGGGGTGGGGAGGGTTGGAGCTTGTTAGAGAGCTTTGCTTTGGGTTTGACAAGTGTCCTGAGGGATGCAGAAACAGTGGAGCTCTGTCACAGAGGCTGTCACTATATTTTTATATGCCACTCTGGCAATAGAAGGAAACACACCACATCACCAAATCGTATCCACCAAACATATGTGTGTTTGTGTAAAACAAACAGGGAAAGTTTTCACTGTCTCCATGGCATTCTCTGCCAAAAAGCTGCCTCTCTATCCTAACTGATGGTCTTATCACAGGTTCACTAAAGCGTGCTGGCATTCTCGTTTGCTGCACTCATTTCCAGCATCAGTATCAGGCAGCTGTGTGTGCTCAGGGTATCAATATTCAAGAAATGGCTGTGTGTTTGTATGTGTGGGTCTTTGCAGGGATGTACATTCCCAGCTGCGATGAGGACGGCTACTACAGGAAAGTGCAGTGCGACCAGAGCCGAGGGGAGTGCTGGTGCGCGGACCAGCACGGTGGAGAAATGATGGGCACCAGAATCCATGGCAACCCCAACTGTGGTAAGAGGATGGCAAACAAATACTTTCAATCTCCATCTCTTGAAGTCGTGTTTTGTTTAAATCCTTAAAGTTAGGTACTTATCGCAAGTAAGATGATTTTAGGCAGTTTCTAATGAAAATCAGCTTTATTCAAATAGATTTCTCAAGCCATTTTTATTTTATCTCTTTTTATTATTGGTAAACTTGAAATTTCACTTTTCATATTTAAGATTAGACAGGTTGTAATTTTCTCCTTACATTTCTATGGTTTTCCATTTGTTTTTACACGCTCTGAGCTCTCAGTTGCAAACTTGAGAAGTTTTTACATTTTCTGCAGTGCAGGAATTAATTGCTTCGCTCATTCAATCCCTTTGTGGATTTTAGAGTCAGAAGAGCTGTACCAAATTATTAGTTTTGTGTCAGAGGAAGAAAAATAGTATCCAAGATTCAGTCAGTACTGCTTGTTTTGTTTGATCAAAAGTCAAAATCCAAACAAAATTAGCTACCGACAAGAAAACAGGCAATTCAGCACTAATGGAAAACAGCTCTTCCTGCAGAAAAATACAGGTCAATTGGCTGGACCAGAACACTGTCCAGAGTATTAGAACAAATCTCTTGGATAGGTTTGATAAGAAAAATAAAGAAAATGCAGATTTATGTGTACTGAACCAAAGATACAACAGTTTCTGCTTGATGCATGAAAAACTTTGGACATTCGAATTGTTTATCACTACACTATCTTATAAGGGTCATGTATCACTGGTATTCAATCTATTAACAACAAATATGGTAGGAGCATATTTGAATCCTGGCAGGCGGGGGTGCTTTCATCAGTTCTTTTTATTGAGTGAAAATATGATATATATGCATTGTATGGAGAGTCTTATTTACCATCTTAATCATGCCGTAGTAAAAGAGTGGAGTGATTTCTGCTGCAACTGAGGACTAGAAGCAACATTTTCTCTCATTCTATTTGGCAGACCAAGCAGTGACTAAAATATGGCATTTGGGCCAGATCATCAGGACTGAGCTCTATGATGGTGATTCTGTGTAGCTCCAGTGTTGTACGCAGAAGCAAATGTGCTTTCAAACTTGTTTTGCATGTCTACAGATGATATTTTATCCTTCCCCTACTCCAGATTATACTGATTATTTGTTATGCTTTTAAAGTAAAACACAATAAACCAATAAGATAGACGGGTGCACTCCAAACATTTATGATTGGTTATTTATGTGGCAATTAATAGATTCTAAAACTATAGCTAAAATGGTTTTAACTAAGCCTACAGTAAGGCCTTGAATATAATTTCCATATACATGAGTCCACTAGGTTCTGCTTTGGTCTGAGTGATGTTTCATCATCAGATGGAGAGCTTTAGTGTCCTTGGTGTGTCTGCATGCTTGCCAATTTTCTGTGATCATGCAGACTTACCCGCAGAGACTTTACATTACAATGCACCAATTGTGAATATGCCCCAGGCGGCAGACTTCAGAGACGTATAACAGGAATGACTACTCGGCCATCAAGTCTCCAGCTGTCTGTGTTCGTGTATGCAAGAGAGTAAAAATCAAAGCTTTAGTGACATAAAATATTGTTCTTATTTCAGGAAATAAGTCCTGTTTGTGTTGCCGTGTCTGTGTGGTTCTTGTTTTTTTAAATTTCTTTCTGAAATTAAGTTGATCTGATCCACTTTTTACAGATGAAGTGATGGGATATTCTGGAGATTTTGGAAGTGGAGTGGGATGGGAAGATGAGGAGGAGAAGGAGGCGGAGGACAACGGGGAGGAGGCAGAAGAGGAGGAAGAGGAGGAAGGTGAGGCAGATGATGGAGGATACATCTGGTAGAACTGTGTGACCCCTATATGGAGAGCATGGCTGCTGGCCTGAAAATCTACAGAGACGGCTCTCTCCTAAAAGCTAAAATTTATGGGGTTCGTGCTCGGGAGGTACGGGATTGTCCTGGTGGGATGTGTAGTGCTTGGCAGGTCCAGTGATGAAACGATGACCAGTTTTTTTTTTTTGTCTTAGATATGTGTAATTGCTTCATTCTATTCTCTGTTTTTTGAGCAACAGAGCTTTTTTGGTTTGTTTTGCTGTCCTGAAAACCAGGACCCACTGACTACTGCACCATTGGTAGCTGAAGTCCATCAGAATTCCTATCTTGTTCAAGCGCCATCTATGCATATAGAGATTACCAGTAATTTTGTATTGTGTAAACTGTTGCTTGAGTATTAGAGTTGTTGTCCCACTGGAATGACTAGAGATCATTAAACAAACAGTTTGACATTTTGGGAAATAAGCTTATTTATGGGGTTTTTTGCAGAGGTTAGATGAGAAGCTCATTATCACAGGAATAACGACCAGGGGAAGACAGTTGCTTTGATCTTTCTGTATAGAAAAAGAAACAGCCAAACATTTAACATTCATCCTAATAGCCTAGCAGGGAGCTGGACTCAATCCCAGCCATCTAAAGGGGTCTCCAGTACATCACAAGACCAAAAAAGTTAACATTTATATCAAGTTTGTTTGAACCTTATTTTAAAAAGCGCTAGGGGAAGAAACAGTCTGACACATCATTTTATTTTTCCCACTTTGTCTACAAATGAAAATGTGATAATTACTTACCTTAAAAAATGCTAATGCCTGGGTTAGGATACCTTTAAAAGTAGCTACACTAGCTGATCCTGTCTGACATGAAACAATCTGACAAATGGACCAGTAGTGATCACATTAAGAGAATTATAGATCTGCTTCTCCCAGTAGCTCTACATCTGTTTTGGTTCCTTCTCACCACTCTCATGACACCATTTCCTGTCTCCGAGACACCTGAAAAGCAGGCACTACCTCCTGATCAGCACCAAACAGCAGATATACACATTTACTGTAGCAGCTGGTGATAACAGTGGAGCATTTAGCAGCTAAAGGACCAGATATTTCCCTTAGGAGTTGGTAGATCAAAATCACACAGTTACTAAAGCAGAGTAAATACTGGATTTACATTTGCCAGAAGATAGTCATGAATGTGATAAACGCTAATATTCTATCATTGGTTATGTAAATAAGTTCACTATGTCAGCTGTGCCCACAGCTTGTTTCCTCTGCCTCGGATGGCTAAACAATTTCACAGTAATTCTGATCTCCAACTTGCCTATTTAATGCTTTTTAAGTTTGCTTTCCAAAATGTCAAACTTTTCCTTCGAAGCAGCTCAGCACAATGTAGTTATGTATTTCCAAACTGATTATGTATATAAATCAAGTGAATCAACTGTGACAGAAGCTTAGAGGATTTCAGGTCACTATGGTTTCAAACTATTTTTGTGAAGGTCAAAGCAGTTTTTAAATTGTACATGTTTTACTATTTAAGTGGATGCACAGAACTATATACAGTACCTTTATTCCCAGATGGATTATTGAAAACCTTAAGAATGTACTTTAATGACCCAAACGTCACCCACAGTAGAAACCACTAGTCGCTGTCCTCTGCTGACTCTGAAATCATGTCAAAGAATGTGACACAGATATTTGTTTTCTTTGCAACTTGAAATACTGTATTTTGTGTTTCTAAAAGGAAGTGTGCATTACTTGAAGTTCTGTGTGTATACTTGAATTTACACTGTATTTTTTTTTTCTATGAAAATATTGTTGCCATGTCTTCATTCTTGCTATCGATAGGCCACACATTTGTTTGTTTTTAGTATTGCATGTTAGTAAATAAGAATTTAATTCTTGGCTGAGCACTTTACTAATAAAGGCAATGGAGCCAAGTTGTATGTTGACTTTTATTCTTACACAGTATATCACAGATTAAAATGATCACTTAGAGACGGATGTGTTAGGAATCGTAGTGACGGTGGCACCGAGTCACACGCTGTCTTTCACTATATTTGATTGTGAGTATTTTTAGATGATCCTGCAAGACATGCAAAGAAAACTGTGCTCAGGTGCCTGTGGGGAAATTACTATATAAGATAAAGCTAAATTAACTGTCCTCATTATACTGGGAGAAAATAACCTGAAACTTAGCCTGCCACACATAGCCATTTCTGCTTATACTAAATCATGAGCTGGTTGTGTAAACATGAATAGAACTATGTTCTTATCAACTTTCCCCAAAATAGTGCATGAAACACAGAAGGTTGTCACAGCTAAGGCATGCTAAAGCTGTCAGTACATTTAATCATGTTTAACAAGGCATTGACAAAAACCAATGTCATCATGCAGCCTGGGAATGTTTAGATATTTGGGTGCCACCTCATGCTAGAAGAACAAATTACAGCAGCTGGCTGCTAAATGAATGATAAATGTTTAAGACGGCACTGTTTGAGGTCAAACGGATTACGCAATTGGGAATGAATGGATCTGAACTTCGTTACTTAGCAATCCTGCTCAGTTAAAATCCTTGGATCAAACCACTTTGTTGTGAATAGGGTCTGACGAATCTAAATGCAAGCGTCAAACGTGCAGCGATTTCAAAGCCAGGACTAAAAAATTCAAAGTAATTTCTCAGAAAAGTGACAACCAGTGAATGGCCAAAAGAATTGAGTTAATGTGGTCACTTCTCTTGGAGAGTATTAGAAGTCTGGCAGCGCTCTGAAATAGCTGCAGTCTGCTGATATTACGGGGTGCATCACCATAATTAAGCCTGGAGATAAAAGCATTAAAGCCTTGCTACACGTCGATGAGTGAAAGGAAAATTTCCGTGATGTGCTTCGGCTGAGAAAAAAAAAAAAAAACATGACTGCATCTGCTTGAGTTGCTTGGGGTATTTAATGACAGGTCTGAATCAAAAATTACTCCAAGATTACCAGCTTGGGGCTTCATTTTGGCTGATAACTTAGACACACACACAAAATGAATATTTAGGAACCATCTGTAGCAGCAGTCCCGAGTCTTGCGATTCTATCCCCATTCTTATTTTATTAGTAAAATAATGTTTTTTTTAATCATTACAGTTTGGAAAGGAGGTCTATTACTTCTTGTAATAACTATATTAATAATTCTGTTTTGTAATTGTATTCCATCTGGAAAGATCAGGTTTCCCAGGGCATTAAATTAAAAGTTAAATCCTGGCTCCAAAAATCCACATTTATAGCAATTCCACCTGAAAAAGGAATACTAGCATGTGAAAACCAGTGGAAAAAGAATCAATCAAAGAGACAGGGCCAGTTTGGTCTATAAAAAGCAGGTTTTATTACATGTCAACTGCTTATTAAGTAGATCAAACTTTCACATCGTTCTGTGTGGGTGATGTTATTTAACATGAACCTATATTCACTGATAACTGCTGAAAATATCAAATCCAGTACTATACAGTTACAAATAAGTCCTTCATAGTGTTTTTTTCAAGGGCAGTAACTGTACAAGCATTTACATCAGTATTATACATAATTTACATGTGTTCGGTAAGTGGTACACAACGCTGTTGAAAGGAAAAGCAGTTTGTTAACACGCATGCTACATTTTAGTAAACAAACGAGACTCCCTGTATGAAGTCTGTTTTTATACACATCTTTTAATCTGGGTTGTAAATATTCCTTCACATATTAATAAACCACATATCTAAACTGTAAACAAGGGCTGCTGAAAATATGGTGCAAAGATCACATGCCTCTCTTCCTGTTTTTTTACTTCATGTTTCTCGTAATGAGGATATAAATGTATACAGTGCGTTGTAAAAAATTAATTAATAAAAATCAATAAAATATTTTCATGCATCGACTAAGAAAAACACAACAAAAAAATGAATCAAAAGCAAACTTAAATTTCAAGTATGCTGAATAAGATTGGATTAATTTGTGTAGTTAAGCATGTAAACGTTTGCATGTGCACTCTTGTATCTTTTCAGACAGTCATAAAGTACCTGCAACACTTGAACCCGGGTAGTTATTGAATTTAATTTATATCTCAGGCTCTAGATACAATGAATGAATAAATAAATAAACCCCTTTTTTCAGTCTCTTATTCAAATATTGCTGCTTTAACTTGGACTTTTTTCTATGCTTGGTTCAAGTAAGACCATGAGGAAATACTGAGCAGAGAGATGAGACACTCTTTTAGTGGGTGCTGGTTAAGACGAAGATGAAAAGACTCAAAAATACATATATTCTTTCCTAGTCTGACCTATATTCTATGAGGGATGGTTTTTTTCTTACAGTCTTTGTAATATAATAAAGCAAAGGACAGCTTTTTTATCTTTCAATTCTATACTGGACGGCCCATAAATAAGTCGGTCCTCCTGTCAAATTAGCTGCCTTCAACCCAGATCCTCAACGCGTACAGGTTGATTTCACAAAAACCAACAAGCCAGCTTCATTAAGATGCCGAAATCAAGCAGCACATTAATCACAGCACACTTATCAACATGATGTCTAATTTCACTCAGTGTACGCCATCATCTTTTCATTTAACAATTTTTTCACCTTTCTTGATGACCAAAAATGAGATTTTTATGTTATTTTGGCTCAGCACTCAGCATTGAAGATGTTTTTTTGTTGAAGTCCAACATCTGGGCCTGTTAATCCCAAGTCATTAGCATACATCTTTGGCTTTATGTTTTAAATGCTAAGGCTGTGCACTAACAGACAAAACGAACTAAAAAATATCTTCTGTAGTTTCTTATTTATCTACAAGAATCTGAAAATCTAAACTAGACCGTCTTAACGCAATTAGCTAGCCCCTCACGATCCCCTTGAGCCCTTCTGTTTCATCACTCGCTCACTACTAAATTCCAAGATAAACACAGAAGTAATGCAACACTGAACCGTGCATTACTGCATAATGCATGGCTGTAATCTGGTATAACGCAACCTAATTTATATTTCATGCAACTCAATTGTCTCTCAAATTAATAACACATTTAGGACAGTTCACGTGGATTTAGGAATTAAAATATTCTTAGTAGTAAGACCTGAAATTTGGATGGGCTGACACTCACTAAGGATCAAACTTCTACATCCTTTTTGGTTAAGCTCATCTCTTTGTCAGTCGATATACTGTGATAACCATCTGAAACCTTCCCCATAGCCTTGTTTTTTCAACACGCTGCACATGAAAATCTCCAGGGGTCGAGCATTCAGCTCCTTCAGCAACACATTTCCCTGTCAGTTACAACAAGGATCAATTAGAATGACGATCATATGTGCTCCTGCATATTTCTGTGAATTAAGAAAGAATCCTCAAGACATGCCTACCTTCCCGGTAACTTGGCCATCAAGTGCAAAAGCTCCTCTAAGTCCTCCTTCGCTGATAGCTTCGGGGCGGTCAATTTTATTACCTAACACCAACACTGGTACATTGACTATGGTCTCATCTGCAAGGAGAGCCTAGAAAAAATAAAAGAGAGACAAACTAACCAGCAATCCATTGCTAACACACAAAAACAGTCCTGTGTGGGGGAAACCGTTGGTAACAGCAATGTTTAACCTTACATCAAGTTCAGTCTTGGATTCTGTGAGTCTGTCATGATCTGCACAGTCTACAAGAAAGACGACTCCATTCACAGCTGGCAGGTAGTTCTTCCAAACTCTTCGTGCTATAAAGAAGGGAAAACGGCTGTGAATTAGTTGCCTTTGCAACAACTCAACATGAGTCTCT